GTTAAACGACACAAATCTTAAAAAAAGAACAACTTCAGACACAAATATCCTTGCAATAATATCGCCAGCCCCCCTCCCCACACTTTCAAGGAAAGATATTAAGAATTTCTTCTCCCCTCAGGTCCCACCTATTACTGAGCTTCAAGAGCATTCAACGACTGTAGAGTTTGTTTTGTGCTTTATGTCATTGTGTTTAGAGGCTTTTCCATGTATTACTGTTGGTGAAAAATTTTTTCTCACGCAATATTCCTCATATTTAATTATACCCAAACTTTTGCGAAATGCAAAATTCCTTTCCATATATAATTCCGCTTCCCTCGAAATAAGCCTAACCAAAAGAAACCTTGTGAACAAATGCATGTCTCACCGGAATTTTACAGTATTGCTTTTACCTCTTATTTAGATCTTTCATCTCCGCTCGAGTCATCTGTCTTGGTTTCGGCACAAAAAGCTGGTCTGAAACACAGATTGAATTCATGGCGGTGACTTAAAAAGACACATGTCTGAATTTTTTACATCCAGTCTTGAAAGCTCAGTGCAAACTGAGGACATAGTTTGGAAACTATGGCCAAAAGCTTTCGTTAGCAGTTTAATATTAACATCTGTAACCTACAAGAATACGAGTTCTTTAAAAATAACTATTGTAAATAAGAAGGGATAGAAGTGCTTATCACGTTTCAGGCTCCTACGAGCCCAAAGAGCGTCTGCGTGGGACGATGTTTGAAAGAGAGGGATAACGACCGACGGGACTTATAATGAATGTTGAAACGAAGAACGAGGATAGCACTGAGAGAGGTGAGGGGTACCAAACAGGGGGATGTTCCCTTCCACATTTATACTCGTCTTTCATCTGTTTCTCTCTCTCTTACCACACTATCCCAGGGGGGAAAGACAACTGGTTTTTATACATGGGGAAAACATTTTGAACTGAACTTCTTCATAAGAAAAGCCTTCCTACAGATATTCAAACTGGGCAGGCAAAATCATTCCCACAGCCGGTTAATTTGCGCTATGCAAGCTCTTCTTGAAACCCTACTATGGTTCTATTTTTGCAGACACTTACCACTTTTCACACGAGTCTTGACCGTGGGTGAAGCAGGAGATATTTTTATTCGCATCTCAGCAGCCTCTTTTCTTTTTTCTTCTCTAGTGGCCTCTGCAATCATTATACGCCTCTCTTTCTCTCGTGCAGCCTGCTCTATTCTTGCAACTCTCTCCTGTGNAAACGAAGAACGAGGATAGCACTGAGAGAGGTGAGGGGTACCAAACAGGGGGATGTTCCCTTCCACATTTGTACTCGTCTTTCATCTGTCTCTCTCTCTCTCTCTCTTACCACAATATCCCAGGGGGGAAAGACAACTGGTTTTCATACATGGGGAAAATATTTTGAACTGAACTTCTCCATAAGAAAAGCTTTCCTCCAGATATTCAAACTGGGCAGGCAAAATCATCCTCACAGCCGGTTACCTTGCGCTGTTGCAAGCTCTTCTTGAAACCCTACTATGGTACTATTTTTGCATACACTTACCACTTTTCACACGAGTCTTGATCTTGGGTGAAGCAGGAGATGTTTTCATTCTCATCTCAACAGCCTCTTTTCGTTTTTCTTCTCTAGTGGCCTCTGCAATCATTATACGTCTTTCTTTCTCTCGTGCAGCCTGCTCTATTCTTGCAACTCTCTCCTGTGAGCGCTTCACAAATTGAGGCCTTGCGTAAAGAAAGGCTTCTTGAAGAGTAAGCTTCTGTAGAGAGCTAGACGAGTTAACGACAGAATCAAACACGTCCACTCGTAATTCGTCCCTGGTGCGACTTTGGGTATTCAGCGGAGTGGCAGTTCTTCGTTCAGCCTGTGGTTGTATTGTCATAGGATAAAACCAAGCAGGTTCTTGTGTCCTGTTTCTTGAGTCACTGTTTGTTTTGACGCTGTGATCCGGTGAGTTTTGACTTGCTATCAGTCGCTCCTTGGGTCTACGCTTCTCTCTCTGATCCACGATATAAGGGTAGTCGGATTTCTTTGGTGACGGTTGGGAAATAACCCCATGTTCCTCGATATCTCTTTTACTCTTCACTGGTTTAGGTCGTGATTTTTCAGGTTCGGAATCAATCTTTCTGTTCACTTTTCGTGCACTAGAGACCTCGTCTGTCTGCGTACTGGCGTCTTCCATTTGTGCACGAGGCGCCTCATCTGAGCTGGAAGATCGATGTCTGGTGACAGCTGGTGTGGGAAAGTTCACACCAACATCACGTTTCCGCAGCATTCCTACCTCCCTATCACTATGGTCCTGTCTCCTGTATTGCGTTACCCCTGACGAAGTCGCCTGTGTGACAACTTTCCGTGAACAAGTACACTTTGGACCAGCTGCAGGTGTTGTGGTAAAAAATTGCTTTTCAGCTACTGCGTCCAACTGTCGAGGTTCCGTTGATGCAGGTGATGGTTCCCTCCCTGCGCTAGGTACTGATTCTCTTTCTTCTCTTCCTCCATCATTGCTTGACACAGCTGATGTAGACTCTGATGATGTACTGTCCCGTGACCTTCTGACTATAGGAGAGATGTCCCGCGATTTAACAGATCTCAGCAACTCTCTCAGTCGCAACTTTCTTCCAATGGATTGGCGGAATCGAGGCTCGAAGAAAGCATAATTGAAGAACTCGGAAACATCTGATGTTTCACTAGTTGACGAAGACATCTTGACTCTTTTGCCCTTTGAAGGTGGTCTTCTCAAAGCAGACGTTGTTGATGTCTGAGACGACGATGAAATACTTTCGTCAAGTGACCTTGAGATTAGTGAGGACAACTTTGAAATGTTGGCATCTAATCTACTGGTATTAGAGCCACGGAAATCACTTTTATCACGAGAAGAATGGCCAGTCTTGGCCCCTGATGTCTCTGAATGATGTTTTCTACTTGCCGTTGTTTTCTCTACCCGTGCTTGCTGGGATAAAGAGGTTAGGTCATCGTCCATGTACCTTGACTTTGATTTTCCAGAACTGGCAGATCTTTTACTGCGACTTGAAAAATGGCTGGTTCCATTTGGGTCAGTTCTGTCCATATACTTGTCAGGGAGCTGCCTTGACCTGTCTGACCTATGATGCAGTGGTCCTCCTCCTTGCTCCGGTGAACTGCGCACTTGACGTTGGTGTGAACGATCAGGCCTCCTGCTCTCGCGTGACTGGTATTCATCTCGGTACGGA